TGATAGTAGGGCAGAGGAGGAGGAATAGTCATTGACCATCAAGCAGAACTCAGTGCAGTTTAATAATAGAGTGTTGCTGCTGCCGTCAGTCAGGGATCCTCCTGAAGCTGTTCGGATGACATCCTTTGTCACTCTGACCCCTTTCCTTTCACATTATGTTGTAGAGACATGCAGTGTATTCTCATTATGAGTTCGTATGAAATCATAAGAAAAGTTATGCACCATAATTTCATACGTTTTTGACATTTTTTTCGTCGTATTTCATCTTATTTTTACGTCTTGCCTCAAGACAAGATATCCTTGCGCATGCGCATCTTACGCACCATTCAATAACATACAATTTAACATACAATTAACCCTAAGATACAAAACATCAAGCAACGTAGTTAGAGACATGAAGAAGTAATTATTGTACTGTTTTTCCCAGTTTTACGTCCGTCCGCAGATCTGCTTTTTTCGTCTGTCTGCATGCGCACTGATGTGTTTTTTCGAGGAAAAACGTCAAAAACGTACGAAATACTGTGCATAAGTTTTCGTACGATTTCATACGAACTGATAATGAGAATATGTTGAGAAATGTCCTAAACAGGAACGTTCACAGATGGACCCTGCAGCCTGTGACTTCATTATTTAGGATAAATCTTTCCAGTGGCGGAGGACGAACATTTTCCCCAGGCAGGGAACAATGATCCCTGAAGGGGGGCAAGAAAACGGACAGAAACCGAAACCAGGAACCAAATCAGGATCAATCTACACTGACCACACTACCAGGCAGAAACTGAACGAGCGCTACGTCAGTATTTTTCAAATAAATCAGGACTACACTGAAAAACAGGCCCAACTCTATCATCTATACGTGTTAACAGCAGCAGCACAGCTGATATTTCTCTGAAATCAGTTTAATCCCATCCAAATGAAGTGACTGACTAATCAGCTTCTTTTTCAGAGACTCTGGTCCAAAGACTATAACTTCTGTTTTGTCTGCATTCAGAAGGAGAAAGTTAAGAGACATCCAGGTTTTTATGTCTTCAGACATGCCTGTAATCTATATAATCTCTGAGCTCTTGCCTTCCTCCGTCAACATGTGGAGGCCCTAGTAGCAGGCCTGCAGCAGAGGGCTCCAGTAATACCTGCTGACAGACCAACAGGTGGACAGACTCTGAGACAGAAAGCTGCAGGTTGTTTTTACTGTCAGGATTCCTGCCAGAGGCTCTAAAGTCTTTGTTATCCCACATGTTGTGGTATTTCTGGAGCTGTGCTTAAACCTGGTGACATGCTGTTGGCACAACACACATTCTCATTGTTGATCTATAAATTGCACATATGAGCTAAACAGCAATTTGGTCCAAGGCGAGTGTCTCCATCATGGCTTAAAACTGTCAGTCAAAGATGTGGTCCATAAAAAGTTGATTATGTAATCTGTCTAAATACAAATCCCTAAATCCAATATTCCCAGTATGATAAGGACACATTGAGGAGCTTACTTTACAGGTGATTAAACCGAAGAATCCAGCAATGAACAATAAAAAACCCAGAAGGGAAGGTTGGAAGAGAAGAAAGGAGCCGGATGAGCCTGAGGGAGGGAGGCTACTGAACCCCACGGTAGGGAAAGAAGGACTAATTGGAGAGAGGACGACTAACTGGGAAAAAAAATTTAACCAAACCATCCAGGAAGCTTTTTCAATTCAAAATTCCAGAAATAGCGTTGAGGTCCAGGTTTTATCCAGCAGCCCAACAAAGCCTGGTTTTGGCTTAGAAAACATGTAAATAGAAATGAATGAACGGGTCCCCCCTTTGGAATGGGGGTCGTTGGGCTTCTTTGTTAGCCTGCAATGCCCCATACCTGTCTATGTCTCTGAAAGGGGGGTCGTTAAAGTCGTAGGGAAGTGACTGTTCCAATCGTTGCATTCCTGAATTCTCCTCAATGGTGCCCGACTTTACACGAGTGAATAAAGTGAATGTGATTGGTCGATTATCAAGGGGGCGGGATTATTGTGGAGGAAGGTTTGTAAGCAAGTTTGGTTGTGGCCGGTTTGTTGGAAGCATCTTGCTAACCAGTTAGCATCTTAGTGCTAGCAGGTTCCCAATGGGAAATTCCATTGGGACCAAGTAGCACTAAATTGGTGACTTAGAAATGACGCTGTCAAGGAACGCTATGGACAGAGGAAACATGCAAGAGGAGGAGAGTTTAGTGTCGGAGGTCGTGGATGAGTCTCCTCCGTCATCCATTTTTTATTTAGAGGAGGAAAGCGGGACGAAGATGTTGTGGAAGAGGACGCCAGGGCGGCAGAAGCTTGGTTTGGTGTAGAAGGCTTCCAGCCGTACATGTTTGAGCCCTTGCCTCGCAACGCTGCCAGTTCTGTTAGCTCTACGCCTGCCGAAGACACAGACGTCCATCCCCTGTACACTGGGACGCAACTCAATGGGAAAGGAATTTGACAAATTGACAAATGACCGTTGATATATTATTGGCTGAATAAAGGTGTTCACGCTGACGTAGAACTAACTGGCCTGCAGAAGATAACGAAAAAAAACACAGATTTTAATAGAGGATTTTTTTAAAACAAATTTTATAACTTTTGGGACAATATTGTCTGATTAAAAGTACATTTATATATATGTTTAAGCCAGAATGATTTGACATTTAAATACGATTTCTCTACAACTTTAAAGGGAATTGTTAGCCTGGCTGAATAGGTGAGGTCTTCTGTTCTTCTGTAAAGGGGTTGGGGTTGCGATGACAGCGGGAAGCGCTACAAAATACTAATGTGATGGTGAACAAAATTGCAAAAGGTTGGAATGACCAGAGGTTTAGGTTATTTGAAGCGTCTGCAGCAGCCAGGCTGTGGTACGGAGAGGATCAGTGATGGGTGGATCTATGAGATCATCTGCTCTGACTGTGGTTTGTATATGTGGACTCCTCTCTGCTGCCTCCACACCCTGAGGAGCTGCTCCAAAACACAGCTTCATCAACGTCTCCTCAGGCTTTTAAGGCAGGACATCTAATGACCTGAAGCTCCGGGTTTGTTCCTGTTTGCATGAAGCTGTTTACACCAACATATCATGAGCCTCAGTTTTAACAGAAGGAGATCTATTTGGAGATTTCTGGAGTCTGAAGCTTTCAGATAGAGATCTGTTTCTCTGACATCATCTTCAATAAGAATGTTACTGAAGGTCAAAGGGCGCGTAGATGAAATAAAGCAAATAAGTTAGAAGGATGAGGCTCAGATATCAGCAGAAAGCAAAGACTGGTTTAACTGGAGCTGGATCAAGTTAAACTGGATTAGACTGGGAGACAGAATAAAGCCTGATGAGACAAAGACAGATTATTGATCCACCCATCATCCATCCATCCATCCATCCATCCATCCATCCATCATCCATCCATCCATCCATCCATCCATCCATCCATCCATCCATCCATCCATCCATCCATCCATCCATCCATCCATCCATCCATCATCCATCCATCCATCCATCCATCCATCCATCCATCCATCATCCATCCATCCATCCATCCATCCATCCATCCATCCATCCATCATCCATCCATCCATCCATCCATCCATCCATCCATCCATCCATCCATCCATCATCCATCCATCCATCCATCCATCCATCCATCCATCCATCCATCCATCCATCCATCATCCATCCATCCATCCATCCATCCATCCATCCATCATCCATCCATCCATCCATCCATCCATCCATCCATCATCCATCCATCCATCCATCCATCCATCCATCCATCCATCCATCCATCCATCCATCCATCCATCCATCCATCCATCCATCCATCCATCCATCCATCCATCATCCATCATCCATCCATCCATCCATCCATCCATCCATCCATCATCCATCCATCCATCCATCCATCCATCCATCCATCCATCCATCCATCATCCATCATCCATCCATCCATCCATCCATCCATCCATCATCCATCCATCCATCCATCCATCCATCCATCATCCATCCATCCATCCATCCATCCATTCATCATCCATCCATCCATCCATCCATCCATCCATCCATCCATCCATCCATCCATTCATCATCCATCCATCCATCCATCATCCATCATCCATCCATCCATCCATCCATCCATCCATCATCCATCCATCCATCCATCCATCCATCATCCATCCATCCATCCATCCATCCATCCAATCATCCATCCATCCATCCATCCATCATCCATCCATCCATCCATCCATCCATCCATCATCCATCCATCCATCCATCCATCCATCCATCCATCATCCATCCATCCATCCATCATCCAATCATCCATCATCCATCCATCCATCCATCCATCATCCATCCATCCATCCATCCATCCATCATCCATCCATCCATCCATCCATCCATCCATCCATCATCCATCCATCCATCCATCCATCCATCATCCATCCATCCATCCATCCATCCATCCATCCATCATCCATCCATCCATCCATCATCCATCCATCCATCCATCCATCCATCCATCATCCATCCATCCATCCATCCATCCATCCATCCATCCATCATCCATCCATCCATCCATCCATCCATCCATCCATCCATCATCCATCCATCCATCCATCCATCATCCATCCATCCATCCATCCATCCATCCATCCATCCATCCATCCATCCATCCATCATCCATCCATCCATCCATCCATCCATCATCCATCCATCCATCCATCCATCCATCCATCCATCCATCCATCCATCCATCCATCATCAGTAAATATTTTCTCCTGATATTTTCCTGCCTCCAGATATTTTCTATTTTTTCACCATCAGGATGTTTTCTCTCTATTTTTCTGAGTCTCTTTCAGACTTTTGTGTTTTTTCATTTGGGGGCATGCTTCATTTTACGGTGTTTTAATGTTTTTGAACAAAAAAAGAAAAGAAAAAAGATGAAATGAGGAGGAGTTTTAATGTCAGAATGCTGGTTAGTGAAACGTCTTTGACTCTGATTTTGCTGTGGTTTCTCCTTCCAGATGTCTCTCAGAGGTCCTGGCCAGTGTCTGCTCTGTAAAGGCAGCTGTTCTGGATATCAGCCCCATTCTTGGAGGTAAACCTGCTTCTTTTTCAGCTTTTTGAAATGTCACTTTAACAACAAAATGATAAAAATAATAGACTTTTGCTTCATACAACACAGCAATCAGCCACAGTTTCTGCATCTGTAAGCAAGAATTTCTAGAAACAACTTTTATTAAGATGGGACGTTAGAAAAAAAAGAATTCTTAGAAGGAATTAATGTTTACTGAAATAAACAGAATCCTGTTGATCCCTGTGCTCCAGGAAAGCCTGCATGGCGTGCGGCTGCAGCTCGGCAGACCACGCTCCTGAGGGCGACCAGGAGGATGACCAGCGGATGGGACGTCTGCTGGGAGACTCGCCCTGCTCACACTTAACTGCAAAGGTCAAAGGAGGCGGCGGCCTTCGGGTGTACAAGAGAAACCGGATGATTGTGACCAACCCGGTGGTTTCACGCAAAGACCCAACTTTCCATACCACCACATACGACTGGGCCCCTGCCGGACTCAACCAGAAACTGGTGAGATTCCTGCAGTTTCTGACGTCCTGCTGGCAGACGGGAAACATCCTTCTTTTCTAGAATCACGTTTAATTTATTTCCTTCCTGATTATTTAATTTTAAACATGTTTAAACATTTAATGCTCCACTTGTAGAAGGCCAGATGAAGCAGCCTTTTTATCAAACTATTTAAGTTTTTTATTCTGAAGTATTTAAAATAGAGCTACTTTAAAAATAGTATTCCTCACAGACAAAAAAAAGTAATCTTATTTCTTAATAATTCTCTTAGCTAGTTCTTAGCAGTCTGTTGGGATTTATGCAGACATATTTCTCTATCTGCTGTTTATCGCCTCACAGCTTCTGAAAATAATAGCTCTGCAGCACATATAATGCGGCGCCGTCCAAAATTAGGAGCAATATTTATGGTTATTTAGTGCGTTTTAAGATAAAAATCAGGGGTTATTTTTTCCAGTTCTTTTTTTCACTGTCATTCACTCATTTATTATATAAATCTTATTTTGTTAAATAAATATTTAGTTTGTCTAATATTTTGATCTAAGCTAAATGTTTAGTTTAAGTATTTTACTTCGAGCTAAATATTTATTTAAAAAACTGAATATTTATTTTGCAAACTAAATATTTAGCTCCAAACTAAATATTTAGTTTATTAAACAAATGTTTAGCTAGCTAAATATTTGTTTGTCAAGTGTTTTCCTTGGAGCTAAATATTTATAGATATTTAATTTGAAAACTAAATATTTTGCTCCAAACTAAATATTTCGTTTGTTAAAACAATATTTAGCTAGCTAAATATTTATTTAATAAACTAAATATTTTGCTCCAAACTAAATATTTAGTTTATTAAATAAATATTTAGCTAGCTAAATATTTATTTAATAAACTAAATATTTCGTTTGTTAAATAAATATTTAGCTAGCTAAATATTTAGTTTGTCAAGTATGTTCCTTGGAGCTAAATATTTATTAAAAAAATAGATATTTGATTTGAAAACTAAATATTTCGCTCCAAACTAAATATTCATTTAAAAAACTAAGGTTTTTATAAATGATTGAAGGACATAGTGAAAAAATTACTTGGAAGTATAAAAAAACCCTTTGTTTTCTCTTAAAACACGCTAAATAAGCATAAATTTTGCTCCTGATTTTGAGCCCCAAACACTTCTTGGCCTGAATATATATGTATATATGGACACTCAGCCTCATTCCCTCCACAATGATTTTTATTACAGACATGATGCGACTCAGACCCTGTACCTGTATATGTCTCTGAAACGGTACACTGCAAAAAATGGAAATCTAAATGAGTAATTTTTGCTTAAATTAAGTGCATTTTTTCTTGAATTGAGGAGGTAAATAAGATACTTTGCCAATGGAACAAGACAATTTACATTTAAAATAGGAAAAAAATTTGCTTTGTCTTAGTTCAATTGCATATTATCTACTTATCTTCTTTTAGGAATAATAGTACTAATTCCATTGGCAAATTATCTTATTTATCTACTTAAGGGCAAGTACACTCAATTTAAGAATTATTTTACTTAATTCTTGATATTTTTGCAGTGTATGGAGCATTGCAGGCTAACAAAGAAGCCAAACGACCCCCATTCCAAAGGGGGGGACCCTTTCATCCGTTTCTATTTGCATGTTTTCTAAACTAAAACCAGGCTTTGTTGGGCTCCTGGATAAAACCTGGAACTCAACGCTATTTCTGACATTTTGAATTGAAAAAGCTTCCTGGATGGAAGAGAAACGTCTTCGATTGATTTTTAACTTTTTTGGAAGGACTATGCCCTGGATGACTGAGAATCTTTACCAGCATACTGATGCGGTCAGTTATATTTAAAACACACACATGTAAACTACTCTCTCCACCTGCATTTTGAACATTTTCAGTGTTCAGAGTCAATATAATGAGGCTCAAATATATCATATATATATATATGCAGGACAGAATCTTTTTTTTTTTGCAGGACAGAATCTACAGGCGCATAAAAAGCAAGAGAGCGCCGAGGAGCATGAAGTCATGGTTGTGACATATTGGGGGCCTTGTGTTACTGAATAAACAGGCGTAAAATGTTCAAAATGCGCATATAGAGTAGTTTGGATGTGTTTTAAATAAAGCCACTTGTATAAGTATTGTGTGTTTGCTGCTTTGGCAGCAGTCTGACTTTGTAAGAACCGCTAAACCAGAGCAGGAGGAGCTGAATCTCATCCCAGCTGCTTCACATTAGGCTAAGAACCTCTCAAGCAAACGTAACACATCCAAAAAAAGATAAAGAAAGCAAACATTTACAGATTGATCTTCTTTCAGAGCTCCTAAGATTAAACTCTGATGAATCTTTATGACCTGGAGGTTAGGCTATAAGCCCAGCAGGATGTTTTCTCCTTTAACTCATATCTTCTGTGGGACCCAGATAGCTCAGGGTATCCGTCTCTTTGGCGATGGTTCAAACTGTCTGCTTTCAAACAGGCCTGAGTGCAGCCTGTAATTACAGACATTACTGCGGCTGATCCTGCAGAGACAGCTCCAAATCCCACTCAGCCTGCTTTCCACATGTGCCTCAGTGAAATAGCCCAACATCAGGTTTGCCTTATCCAACACTTTTGTTTGACTAGGTTTACTAATGCTGGTCCAGGCTGTTAGTCATTGTTGGTGCGCTGACGACACACAGCTGTGTCACACGAAACACCTGGAAGGAGCATCTCTGAACCTGTGGAGGGAAGCTGAGTCACAGCAGAAGAGATTCTATTCAGTTTATTTCTATAGCTCCAATTCACATCATGTCATCTCAGGTCACTTTCCAGTTCACCAGATCATCCAGTCAGATTGATTCAAAGTTTTCTATCTAAGGAAAACCAGCTGATTGCATCGACTCATTGACTCTTCAGCAATCCCTCACACTAAGCATGCTTATAGCGACAGTGGAGAGGAAAAACTCCCTTTGAACAGGAAGAAACCTCCAGCAGAACCAGGCTCAGTGTGAGCGGCCATCTGCTGAGGCCCACTGGGGTTCAAGGAGACAGAAGCAGACATAGAAAAAGAAGCATAGATACAAAAGGCAACTGTCAACCAGCTCCACAGGCGGCCCCGTCCAGGAAACACACAGCCAGGCAGACGAGCTCCGAGCCAGCTCCCATGTCAGAGGATGAAGGGGGCACATCCAGTTAGTCACAGTCAGAGAAACAGGACTACACTGGAAAACAGGCCAAGCTCCAACATCTAGAAACAAAGGTGTTGATGGCAGCAGCACAGCTGATATTTCTCTCCAGGATGGAGTCACAGCCAAACAGGAACAGACCAGATGAAGCTATGGAGAGATATGAACCTCACGCTTGACTCAGACTATGGGGGCTTTAGTTTTAGCCTTTCAACAGGCTCCAAAATCTAAACATACTTAAAATTTAAAATCACAGATGAGTTATGTGTGCTATGTGAAGGCCCAGTTATTAGAAACTGCAGCAGGTTATCAAAAATTAAATGTATTTAAAATACATTTAATTTTTACTCTTTTTAAATTAGTTTTATTTAAAGTAACCTGATGTAATAAAAAGTAGTAAAAAAAACATTATTGCAAACCATGAAAACTCCACGAAACAACTGGAGAACTACTAGTTAATAAACGACAGAGGTTATTAAACACTGTCCCCATCCAGGGGAACATGCTGATGTCACTATTCTGAGCTGAGCTGGACCTGCTGATCCTCCAGGCCATGCAGTACATGGAGCTCCTGCCAGAGAGCCAAAGGCCCGTCTCAGGGACCGCCGGGGCCCTGCAGCGCCGCAGGCAGCTGCTCAGCCAGCTTCCAGTCTACGATCAGGACCCCATGAAGTGTCAAAGTCTGGGCAGTGAGGAAGAGGTACCGCCTGCATCCTTGTTTTCAGTGAACCCCATGGGTGCCTTCCAGTGGGCACAGGTAAGCCCTGTCCTTATATCTGCAGGTTTCCACCATGATCCTGTTTGTGAAGCAGTTCAAACAGGAGGTTCTAGGAGTGGGCGAGGTGGCCCTACCTGGAGAGGGCGGAGCTCTGAGAGAAGCAGCTGCTCAGAGGATGGCAAAGGAGCTTAAAGATCACAGCGATAAGGCCGATACGGCGCAGCACCTGAATCAGAGCAGCATCTCCTCTGCTGTGAACGGAACCAGCAACCAAACTGAATATGTGAGTAAATGACAGAAGAACCAGACAGAAACTTGGTTTGTTCTAATGGCTGCCAAGGGCCCCCCCATGAGGCGGTTCCCTATAACAGTGCCTTTATTTAGGAGCCACATTGGGAAGGGGGGAGAGGGGTAAAAAAAAAGCATATTTCACACTTTATCCTTGACAGGATACAGTTGGAGATATCAAAAAACTCCAGCACATCCAGGGGAGGTTTGATAAGGGGAAGGCCAAATCCAAAATAACAGTTATGGACAGCTCTCTCACCTCATGACTGTTTTGGATTTGGATTATGGTGTGAAGACCTGCAGGTCTGCTTCGCTCTGAAAAAACAGAAAAAAGAATCTTCACTGAAAAAAATATTTTTTTTAAGTAGTCAGAGTGAAGACAAGAGAGGACAGAAGGAGCAGATTCACTTTCCCCAAAGATCCTTAAAGTGCAGCTTTAAGAAGAGAAGTCACAGGAAGTTGCCTGGATGTTGGAGGTTTCTGCTGACAGGCTGAACCTGAGCTCTGCACAAACCTTTTCTTCGTGCTTTTGTCTTCCAGCGCTGCATTGGCTGCCAGCAGGAGGTTCTGAAGGACAGTCCAGCTGTCTACGCAGAGCGTGCAGGCTACCTGGACGCCTTGTGGCATCCCACCTGCTTTGTTTGCTCAGTGTGCGGCCATGGCCTGGTGGACCTGGTGTACTTCTGGTCCAACCAGAAGCTGCTGTGCGGTCGGCATTACTGTGAGTCTGTGTGGCCGCGATGCTCCGGCTGCGACGAGGTGAGGCATCCCCTCTGCAGAAAACATTTCCTGCAGCAGGAAGTTTTTTAAAAACATGAAGATTATATATGCATGTCTGTGGTTGGTAATAATTCTCTCACCTGATGCCTCTCCGCCCTCAGCTCATCTTCTGCAGGTCGTTCAGGAGGGCCAAAGACGGACGGGCCTGGCACCCTCAGCATTACAGCTGCTGGCGCTGCGGCCAGAGCCTGGACTCCCCCTGTCAGCACTGATCACACATGTCTAATAAACACAGAGGAAAATAGACACCATTGCTGGAAATAAAATGCGACATGGCTCCTTTTGTTTTAACGGAGTGATTAAAATAAATCCTTCATCATAAAGAGCTGAAATATGATTTTATCTGAAACTCACATGTTAAACAGATTCATCAGTGTGTGAAACACTTGGAAGGACATTAAACTGTTTGCAAAGCACTCAGACTCATCTAGAAAGGTTTCAAGTGGCTCTTAAAGCTCTGACATTTTTCAGATGTTAGTTCAGGCTGCAACTTGTATGGAAGCCCAGAGAGGACATTTCATAAAAACCAATAAAACATGTGGAAAATTAACAAAGTGAAAGCTCTGATTCATCCTCTTTAATGCCTGGCTGTGGTTCTGAAGAGCAGAATGTTTATTAATAAGGAGGGAAGAGCTCTAGAAAAAATCAAAATATAGATAAGTCAGTTTATCTTAAATAAAGCGCATTTTTTCTTGGATTAAGGAGGTAAAAGACATTTTGCCAATGGAACAAGACAATGTACACCTAAAATACGAATAAAGATTGTATTGTCTTATTTCAAGTGCATTTTATCTAATTATCTTACTTTAGGAGTAAAAAATACTAATTCCACTAGCAAACTATGTCATTTATCTGCTCAAATTAGGGGTAAATACACTTAATTAAAGACATTTTTACTTATTTCTTGATCATTTTTCCAGTAAGCTTTTTAAACTATATAAAAACAGTCTGATTTGGATCATATATATATTATCATTAGGCAATACTAGGCAGCTGCCTAGGGCCCTAAGGTCCTGGGGGCCCCATAAAACTCTGTTTACATGGTTAGGTAATACAACTATTCTTCAGTTGTGCACATTAATTATGTTTTTGATAAAAATCCTTTGGCTAAAATGCCATCAGAACGCAAACTGATTATTACGGAGCCCCTCTGATGACATGGTCAAAAAATTTTTTTAATTGTGGCCACGAAGTAGTATTTCGTGGCCACGCAATAAGTATAACGTGCGTACGAAATACTATTTCGGGGCCATGCAATAAGTTTATCGTGCGCACAAAATACTACTTCGTGGCCACGCAATAAGTTTATCGTGTGCACGAAATACTTATTAATAATATTAATATCATTCCTGGACAACTGGGTAAGCAAATCGAGCGCGCCTTATCTAAGGTCTAAGGCGCGCTCGATTTGCTTACCCAGTCGGTCTCTGCCAGTCACGTGACATTTGTTGCTAAGACGCCATTTTAGGTGGAAAAGGCGTAGTGTAAACAACCGCAGCATAGCTAAACGAAGGACTAAAGGCCCGTTTACATAGCAGCCTGTCCAAGATAAGTCATTACAGTTAACATAAGCCTGAAAACAGAGGCGGATTTATTGATATTATTAATAAGTATTTATTGCACACGTTAAACTTATTGCGTGGCCACGAAGTAGTATTTCGTGCGCACGTTATGCTTATTGCGTGGCCGCGAAATACTACTTCGTGCGCACGAAATACTACTTCGTGGGCACAATTAAAAAATTTTTTTGACCATGTCATCAGAGGGGCTCCGTAGATTATGACTGTAAATGTGTTCATATAATAAACATGGAAGCTAACATTAGCTTAGCTCAAATAAAATATTAAACATGAATCATTTTAGAATAAATAGCTGCTACTGTAGAAACACATTCATGCCTGTGTTTAACTAATAGTTATTTAACCCTTTAAAGCCCGATCCAAGAATAAAACAAAACAGAAAATTACTTTTTTTTTGTTTGAATTCCTTATTTGGCCTTTAAACAAAATATGTAAAAAGAAAAAACAGAAATACATTTTTGATATTAATAATTTATTACTATGTGATAAGTCAAGATTATTTTTTGTGTAGTCTTCTGCCCTCTGTTATCAGGTATATCTGATTGTGTACAATAGGATTCTGAGCAAAGTTTTTATCATTAAATTATGCAAAAGGTGTCAGACGCAAAACATTTCAGAAACCGTATGTATCAAATACGATACATTTGGCATTACAGGGTTAATGATGACTTCATTTCAACAATTTCTACCAGCTGTTAGCCTAAAGATGCTGTGCTAACGACTGAAAAGTCGTTAATTAAGAGATATTATCTCATAATTACGAGATCTTGTCTATATATTTGATCATGATTACTTGATTAGATTAGATGAGCTTTATTGATCTCACAGCGGAGAAATTCACTGGTCACATATTGGCATAGTACTTACAGAAGGTGCATGAGGAATAAAAATAAAATAAACAAAAATAAGAAATAAAAAAAATACAAGGGAGTAACACAGAGATTTGAGGTGTCATATGTACAATCAGGATGGCTTATATACAGGTGGATTGACTTTTACATTAAAGTGTAGTATGTAAGGAAAAACGGTGGGGTAGTGGTATGACTATGAGCTAGTAATGAAGCATCTCTCAGAAAACTGGTCTTCATGATTACTTTAAAATATCTGCATCTTTTCCACTGAACAGTTTTCTGTACCGAGCTCTGACCTGATGTGTGTTGGAGCTCCGCTCCTGTTTTCCACTTCATTAATAAAGTACCCAGCTTTAACCCTGGGATTACTTCTAGTGCAGTAAGCATGCAGCCTTATGACCATACGCCAAAATCTGTCAGCAGCTCCATTATTACAGATTCCGTTTGGTTTTAGTTTGTCATATGAATCGACCAGGGGTGGAAAGTAACGAATTACATTTACTCACGTTACTGTAATTGAGTACTTTTTATGAGTAATTTGTAATTTTCTGAGTAGTTTTTGAAATATGTAATTTTTACTCAAGTATTAATTTTAACCTAAGTAGTTTTACTTTGCTACATTTAAACCCCCCTCACGTTACTGAGTTAAAAAATAAAATAAAAATACTGATGGTGAAAAAATTAAAGCGGCCGGAAATTTAAACCCCTGCGTCACGGAACCCGACACTTAATCGCCATTAAAAAAATAGAAGAAGACTTTTGACCTTTAACAGCACTTTATTTACACAATTCAAACATATAAACAATTGATGTAAAAACATGTGTCAGTTAAAAATCACTATTAAAGTAAAACAAGTGTCAGTTAAAATCATTAAATGAGGAACTTGGTAATAACAGTGGCATCCTGTTGCGTTTTAGTTTGATTTCCGGTATCTTTTGGGCATTTAATTTTGTGTGCATTTTGAAAACTTTAAAATGTAGTTTAAATTTCTTTATTCCTATCATGGTGTTGTCTGTTGGACAGTAGGATTGAACATTGTTTGCACTTTATGGTTCAGGTTGTGACTGTCCTTGTGCTGTGAGGAAGTATGTTCTTTAGCCCAGCTGATCTTTAGCAGGTGTGGATTTCCACTGAAATACGCCTTGAAGTCGATTAAAACACCTTGTGCTCAATTCCATTCATGACTCATCCTTTTTTGCATTAAATTACTCAAAGTAACTAAGTAACTTTTACTCAAATTACATTTTAAATGAAGTAATTTTGTACTTTTACTTGAGTAAATTTTAAGATGGGAAATTTTACTTTTACTCTGAGTAGAATTTAGGCAAAGTAAAGATACTTTTACTCAACTACAATTTTTTAGTACTCTTTCCACCTCTGGAATCGACATGCTGCATGAAGTTGGAACCTGGTCGTTTTAAATGACTGTGAAGCCTCAGCTGTAATCCTAGAGGATCTAGGATTTTTGAGCAGGTACCATACAGCTGGAATGCATTTCAGAAGCATTAATTTCTAACCATAAAGCATCCCGTGATGGTTTAGATGCTCCTGCAGGAACAGTGCGACTTCCAAAAAGTCAGAGTAGAGTGGAATTTTTTCGCCTAAACAGACCTAAGGACTTAAGATACCTGCACAATGCTGAAAAACTAAAACTAATTCCATCCACATTGAGGAAACTCAGTATTTCCCAGTGTTGCAACACGTAAAAGGAAATAAAAACAGATTAAATCTGACAATCCACTCATTGTTCAGGTTCCATGTAGCGTAGCTCAGCAGTGACTGTCCTTCAAAAGTTTGGGATCACCCAAACAATTTTTTTCCTGAAAAGTCACACTTATTCACCACCACACGTTGTGAAATGAATAGAAAATAGAGTCAAGACATTGACAAGGTTAGAAATAATGATTTGCATTTGAAATAAGATTTTTTTTCTTTACATCAAACTTTCCTTTGGTCAAAGAATCCTCCATTTGCAGCAATTCCAGCATTGCAGACCTTTGGCATTCTAGCTGTTAATTTGTTGAGGTAATCTGGAGAAATTGCACCCCACGCTTCCAGAAGCAGCTCCCACAAGTTGGATTGGTTGGATGGGCACTTCTTGCGTACCAGACATTTACAGCTAGAGTAGTCATTTTCCACATTAGCAATGTATAGAGTGTGTTTCTTTAAAGTTAAGACTAGTTTAAAGTTATTTTCATTGAAAAGTACAGTGCTTTTCCTTCAAAAATAAGGACATTTCACTGCAAAAAACATCTAGAAATAAGTGAAAAATGTCTTGAATTAAGTGTATTTACCCTTAATTTGAGCAGGTAAATAAGATGATCTGCTAATGGAATTAGTATTTTTACTCCTAAAATAAGATAATTAGCTAATATATGCTTGAATTAAGACAAAACTATAGTTTTTTTCTTATTTTAACTGTAAATTGTCTCGTTACATTGGCAAAGTGTCACACTTACCTCCTCAATTCAAGAAAAAATGCACTAAATTTGAGCAAAAAAGACTTATTTAGATTTCCATTTTTGTAGTGTTCAATGTGACCCCAAACTTTTGAACGGTAGTGTATTATCTCATCATTTTGAGATCAGTATCTTGTCATTATGAGATGTTATCTCGTAATGCAATACGCTTCTGTACTTATCAGCTCAAAACAAAGAAAAAAAGAGGTTATTTAATGAAAACCGACAGATTTTTTTTTTGCAGTGTTGTGACTGCAGGTGTTCTCAGAGGATGAGAAATGGCTGATGGGGAGCTGGGGGACTGGGGGCCCCTGGAGAGACCATCTCAGTCTGAAAACCAGCAGCAGGAAGCCTCCTGTTGACGTCTAAGGAGAACTGGTCTAAGATATCCGTACTTCTTTCTCCACCCTCACCAGACGGCCTGGAGGGGAAATGGAGGCGACCCAAATGAAAAGATTTCTTTAAAAAAATAACTTTGTCTAGAAATCGATGGGATTCTAAAAAATAGAATAAAATAAAATCCCACCTCAGAGTCTTTAAATCAGAGTCAACTTCAGGGTTTAAGTGAACCAACGTCCCTCAGAGCGAATCAGGTGAGATGACCTACTGCCTGCAGGAATGTGAGGAATTCCTGCGCTCTCTGGGTCCACGTTCCCGGGAAGCGGCGTCACCCGGACTGGTGGGGTTATTCCATTTGATCTGCTGAGTTTGGGGCTTTTAATAGAGTGCTGTGTAATCTGTCCGCAATGCATTAATCATCACTTCCTCTGGTTCTGGAACACCGGTTCTGAAACCCGGTTTGGTCTAATATGGTGAAAATCACACAAATAAAAGCTGCTGCCGGCAGCCATACGATGACATCACCACTCGTCTCTGCTCTCATTGGATGGAAGAAAGAGCCTGAAGGACATGAAACCTGCGGCGTTCACCTGATGGTGATGATGCTGAAAGGAGCAGGTTGGTTTACGGCTTGTGGTCAAACATTTCTGAGTGTTAAACCCAACGCCAGGCAGGAAAGACATCAGCAGTGATGGGAGGAAGCAGTCAGAGGTCATAAGGTCGATCAGAAAGATTCTGTTTTCTGTTAACATTAAAATCCACTGATAAATATTTCTATTTGGTAAACAACTCAAAATATTTTAAGCTTATTATGATAGCCTAAATCATTAGAAACTTTATAATTGTCTAAGTAAAAATTATTACTGTTAGATTGAGGGTTTTTTTAAAACAGAAAGGCCTTTAATAGACCACTGCCGAGTTGAAGGGATTCAATTCTTTTAAATGTATTTCTATAGCTCCAATTCACATCATGTCATCTCAGGTCACTTTAAAGAGACATTTTAACCAGTCATCCAGTCAGATTGATTCAAAGTTTTCTATCTAAGGAAAACCAGCTGATTGCATCGACTCATTGACTCTTCAGCAATCCCTCACACTAAGCATGCTTGTAGCGACAGTGGAGAGGAAAAACTCCCTTTGAACAGGAAGAAACCTCCAGCAGAACCAGGCTCAGTGTGAGCGGCCATCTGCTGAGGCCCACTGGGGTTCAAGGAGACAGAAGCAGACATAGAAAAAGAAGCATAGATACAAAAGGCAACTGTCAACCAGCTCCACAGGCGGCCCCGTCCAGGAAACACACAGCCAGGCAGACGAGCTCCGAGCCAGCTCCCATGTCAGAGGATGAAGAGAGCACATCCAGTTAGTCACAGTCAGAGAAACAGGACTACACTGGAAAACAGGCCAAGCTCCAACATCTAGAAACAAAGGTGTTGATGGCAGCAGCACAGCTGATATTTCTCTCCAGGATGGAGTCACAGCCAAACAGGAACAGACCAGATGAAGCTACTATGAGAAAAAGCAGAGAGAGCAGAACGTTAGAGATTGAACTAACAGATTCTGCAGAGTGGGAGAATAGAGAGAGAATGAAGCAGAATGATGAAAAAGGGGTCCCTATGTCCTCCAGCAGTCTAAGCCTATAGCAGCATAACTATAGAGATAGCTCAGGATAACCTGAGTATTTTGGATTTTGTATAACAAAGGTAGAGCCAAGGAGAAACATCTATCCAGACTGAAATTAGAGAAATGGATGATAAAGAAGCAAATGTGCTTCCATAAATTCAGACCATAGAAGCAGCTCCAGAGATATATCTACAATGGCATTTCCATTATGGATTTCTTCCCAACAGTTACTGCAATTAGGATAAGGTACATATGGGGTAAAATTAATGTCAATAAAAAGGGAAGAGTAGGTGTGTAAATTTGTAAATGAAAGTCCATCTAGGTAATTCACTTTAAGATTTGGGTTTGGTTTTTGTCAACAAATTAAAAACTTATTTGCACAAAATACAAGTAGCCAAAAAAAATCCCAAATAAGGAGTACAGAGTCTGTAAACCCCGACGATGCTCTGACATATGGAGCTACATTGGGTCCTTAAAGTAAAAATGTTAACTTATTTTCAGGATAAATTTGTGATTTGAATAAATATATGTTTGATTGTTAAATCTGTAGTTTGCACCTTTTAATGTGTGACGACTACTCATAAATTTGTGATTTAAACTGTGTGTGAGGGATTGCTCTGATTGCGCCCTTAGAGAGAAAACCTGGAAAAAATCTGCCTGGATGATCTGGTTGAACTGTTTCTGTAAAACACCTTGAAATGACATGAGGCGCTTTATAAATAAACTGAAAATGTGAGATTTGTTCTCATAAAGCTGTGATTCTTAGTGATCAATTAAAGAAGAAAAAAAACAAAACACGGATGCTCTCAGATATTTGTTTTATTCCTTTTTTATATTTTGGTAGAAATCATAAAACAAGAACCAAACAACAGTTGTTCAGTTAACACTCACCATTAGAAAAGTATTCCCACCCCGAAGGTTCTCTATGGCTTTGGGGTCAGAACCAGTAAAGCTGGTGTTTACCAGCTGGTTGGCAGCAGCGTTTAAGATTAAAAGGAGGAGCATAGAACCGGAAACCAGATCTAATACTCCATTTCATCCTCTCAGCTGGAGGAAACCACTGGGCTCCCACTAAGGTCCCAGTTTATCCAGTTACTGAGCAAATCAAGGCCCAAAAACCTCAAAAAGCTTAAACCTCTCGGATTTCAAACACTGTTCTTAGAAAAAAAAAAAATCTAATCTAATCTAAAATTCCCTTCTTTAGGACCCCAAATACATAAAAAGTGGGGAAAAAAATAGAAAAAAAAATACTTATTGGGAGTTTTTAAACATAATTCATTCTAATTTATTTTTCCGAAGCAAAGATGTTGGTTTGGATCCATTTGACCAAATCCTGATTATCTTCAACAAGACAACTGCAGTGTTACGCATCAACCAGTAGATGTCAGTATTGTTCATCTGCTCCGTTTCAGCTTTGTTCTAAAATGATGTCTGATTGAAATTAAGGATTTTTATGACACTAATATTTACTGATCTTTAGAGCAATACTGAAAAGTTAAACCAGCTTAATGTAATTTTTTGAAAAAATTAAATAAAAAGCCTTCTGATTAACAGGGTTTAAAGAAATCTACGCTGCACAATCCAACGAACATTTTTAAATCAAATAATAAGGTTTCATTATTTTTCAATCCACTTTACTTATGGATTCAGTTTAATACATCTTTTATTATTTGAAAATTCTGAAAAACATCAAGTTTTGATCTGGATCAGAACCGGGATTAGTTTTCCTAAACGTATCTACATCTGTAAACAAATCTTTCCTCTTGTCTTTGTTTTAAACACTGTTGGTTGCATAAAATGGCGCCATGAGCCGATTCAAGGTAACACTGATAACAGGGGGGGTCATGGGGGCCAGGGCCCCTTAAGACAGACGGAAAACTGTCCCACCAAGGGTCCCCTTTAAGGGGTCAGAGCTCCTCCAGATCGTCCACATTTCCTGGGTGAGCTTGTCTCCTGTCCTCATCTTCAACGGCGTGCTGGTTGTCATCATCATCATCTGAATCGTTGCCCTCGGACACCGGGAGGATCTTCAGCGGCTGGGGGCTTCCAACGTAAAAGATGGGAAACATCTTCTCAGACCATCTGTGTGAGAAGGTGCAGATATGCTTGAGAGTCTTGAGGTCGATGAAGGAGAGTTTGCCCCTGTCCATGTCCAGATGGAGCCGGATGACCTGCAGCTGCGTCTTGGCGTGGAAGCTGGGCGGAGCTCCTCGGGAGAAGTAGGAATATTTGTCCTTGGAAAAGCTGACGGCCCACAGCCCTGAGCTGAACTTAGTGGGGTTCTTCCTCCTGAAGGATTCCTCGGCAATGCCGACGAACCAGGCGGCGCAGCCCCCCACCTCCACCGTCCAGTAGTGGATGCCTTCAGTGAAGCCCTTGGAGCCCACCACCACGCCCTTAGAGTCGAAGCGCTCCGGGTTTTTGGGGAGCCTCTGTCCGTGTCCGCGCCTGACCGTGGTGAGATCCAGGGACACGGAGAGACTCGCTCCGGCTGTGTTGGGATCCAAGACCACGGGCGTGTAGGACACCGTGTCTCTGATCTTCTTCCAGATGTTGAAGCCCAGGTTGCCCAGATGTTTGGTGACATCCAGCAGAGCTCCTGGAACCGGCTGAGGGTCTTCCAGCAGGGGGCACTGTCGGACCACTTCTGCTGCAGCGGAGAAGCTCTGCAGGAAGGAAGCATCCTTAGATCTCAGCTTCTTCTCTGCAGCAGCGATTGTGCCATGAAGAGCAGCTATGTCTCCTTCAAGAGCCTGGATCTTCTCCTGCACCTTCCGACTCTTCTGCTCCTCCTCCTCCTTCACCGCAGCCACCCTCGCCTCCTCCTCCTCCTGCAGAAACTGCTGCAGGATCCTGAACTGATCCCTGATGGCGGTCTCTGCGTGCCGGGCCTGGGAATGAATGTGCTCAGCTGTCAGGTCCAGGTCTTCTCGGACTTCTCTGAGGAGCTTCAGCTTGTCCTGCAGAGGAGTGAGGGAGGTCTTCAGCTCCTGCCTGCGGTCCTCAGCCACCTCATTGATGGGCCTGAAGGTGTGGCTGCTGTGCAGCGTGGAGTCCCTGCAGATGAGGCAGGCGGGCTCCTGGTGGTCCAAGCAGAACAGCTTCAGCTTCTCCTGGTGAAGCTGGCAGACATCTTCACACTCCGCCGCGGCGCGGTCCCGCTCCAGGAGGAAAGCCTCGCAGGTGTTCCTCAGCACCAAGTTGCATGTGGGCTCCTTACGGCCCGAGTCGCTCTTACACACCGGACACTGCTGGACCTGCTTCCGGTTCCACCAATGACGCAGGCAGTCCCTGCAGAAGCTGTGGCTACAGGACAGAAGGACAGGGTCCCTGAAGATGTCCCTGCAGACGGGGCAGGACAGCTCCTCCTCCAGGCTTAGGTCCATGTTGTCTGAGCGCGGACACGCGCTTAAAAATCCGAATTTTCGCGCTAAATACGGAAACTTCCCGCGTTCATGGAAAGAAAAAACAACTTAGGTTGAGGTCATGACGTCAGCTGGACGCCGGAGGTTAAAAAATCAGTCCTAAAAACTCCCTTCATTCCTCCGCCTGGGTCTCGAGAGGTAAACAAATTCTGCTTCCGGTTTGTGATCCACGCACTTCCTGTCGCAGCCCGCGATGCGGCCCTACGTCACCACATCCGCCATATTGGGAAGGGAAACAGGACTGGTTTGTCTGAGAAGGCAGACTCACTTACAGTGAATAAAATTATAGTAGTGCTATTATTATTATTATAGTTGTGGTAATAATAATATTGTTAATACCAAAAAATAAAAGAACAAAGAATATCTCTGTGAAGGTTCTCAGTCATTCAGGTCATGGTCAAGCTTTAAAGGTTAATTTTAGGCAACTGGAAATGAACTTCTAATTAGTGATGTGGAGCACTGAGATGAATATCCTGAACAAAGAATCAGGAGGAACAGAAGGTGGCTTTGCTTCTTCCCTCTGCTTCAGCCAAAGAGGACATATTGGGAGGGTTAATGTTCGTTACGGGGTTCTGATGAGTCGTTAACTCCCTCATCAGAGTGGTTTCAGTCACATCCCTCATTGAAGTGTGAGTCAGGTGAGGTCAGGAGGGAGCTGAATCTTCTGGATTTTGATTGTAACAGTTTTATGTAAGTAGGTGAAAGGTTATGTCTAAGACCACCTCCTCTGTTGAGAGATGATTTTTCCAGGTTAACAAATATGTCTTCCTTGGCCAGAATATAGACAGACGTTGCTGTCCTCTAATGAGTGTCCTTCAGCCATCAGGTCCGGAGGTGTGGGCCCTGCTGTGTTGAGCCTTACACCTGTGTGGCAGCCAGGGCTAACGTTAGCCCGTCCGTGGCAGCCAGGGCCGCCTGTGGAGCTGGTTGACAGTTGCCTTTTGTATCTATGCTTCTTTTTCTATGTCTGCTTCTGTCTCCTTGAACCCCAGTGGGCCTCAGCAGATGGCCGCTCACACTGAGCCTGGTTCTGCTGGAGGTTTCTTCCTGTTCAAAGGGAGTTTTTCCTCTCCACTGTCGCTACAAGCATGCTTAGTGTGAGGGATTGCTGAAGAGTCAATGAGTCGATGCAATCAGCTGGTTTTCCTTAGATAGAAAACTTTGAATCAATCTGACTGGATGATCTGGTGAACTGGAAAGTGACCTGAGATGACATGATGTGAATTGGAGCTATAGAAAAAAAATGAATGACATTGAATGTTGGTGTTTCAGCTTCTGCTTAGAAAAGAGTTTAATGTCAATCCCTGACCTATTATCACCGAATCTTCCTAATAAAGTAAAGTACTCTTTTTTTTAGATGTTAATGAGCATAAATACACACATTATGAATAAAGATGACCAAAAACATGGAAGCTCAGCTCCAGAAACTACACAGTTCCACGGTTCTCATCGTAAGGACTGGTTTTTATAATGAAAATAATCAGATTTGGAAAAGTGTTTCTTCTGCATGAATGTGTTATTTTCTAATCATGTATTCATGTTGCATTTCAGTTCTTTAAAATAGCAGAAGTTCCATGAAAATTCTGTCTGACTGAATGATTTTCTAAACATTTAACCAGATGTTATGATCCAATTAAAAGCATTTTTACCAACAATTTTTTCTACTCTGACTAGAGGAATTTCTACATTTACTACTTTTATTTGAGCTAAAAAAAAATGTAAAAGTAGTGCTACTGTTACTTGAGTACATTGTTTTAGGTGGGGGGCCCACTTCTGCTTATCTTCAATGTCAACAAAAAGAAAAAAAGGGTGAAAGAGAAAACTGAAACTGCTTTTTCCTCCTTTTTATTGTATATATTAAAAAGCTGTGTTGCTGCTCAGCGACCAGCAGGGGGAGCAGCTGGTAAAATTCTCTTCCCACTAACCTCCCAGCCTGCTGCAGTTCAATCTGATATTAGGCCTCCACATCTATGCCCTTTGTTCACCTCCCTGTGAAACAGGAGGAGAAAGACAAGACCATGCATCATGCAAAAAAACAAACAAAAAAACACATATAAATGATCAAAATTTCTGGAATTATTTTCAGATCTTCTTGGCAGCGGCGTAGGAAGCGGGGGGGGAGGGGGGGACATGTCCCACCCAATATAAAAGCCAGGTGGATATGTCCCCCCCAAAAATTGTACCGCAAAATATTAGATTTTGACATTTTTTTAACTAGCGTGCTTTTATTTTGAAGGCGCAGCATAGTGTTACGTCACTGTACTCCCCCTCCCCTCTCTGAACTGCTGAGTGAGCTCTCAGAAGGGAGGGAAACGGCGACACAGAAGTCAGAAACTTGTGAATGAGGTAAAATGGTCTGTCGGGATGCTGCTATGAATATTGCCTATTTATAACGTCTTGTTGTCAGTTCACTTTCATATATAGAAACTGAATCTTTTTGGTTTAGTCATCTTAGTCGTGTACTAAAGAGGATTAGGGCCACCGGAAAAAAAAAAGTTAACTGATTTTTACATTTTTTTTTTTTTAGTTTAACATGGGGGAAAAAGTCAGAATTCTGACTTTTTTCAGAATTCTGACTTTAATCTCAGAATTCTGACTTTTTTCTTCTGACTTTTTTCTCAGAATTCTGACTTTAATCTCAGAATTCTGACTTTTTTTCTCAAAATTCTGACTTTAATCTCAGAATTCTGACTTTTTTCTCAGAAATCTGACAGATGATTAATATTTCTAATCAATTTACAGTGTTTTTATTTTTTGGGGGGGGGGGGTACTATACAGATATATAAAAACAAGAAGGTCTAACTAAAAATAACCAGAATATATGTTTAGAGTAAAGACTGACTACTTGTGTTTACACAAGCACACAATTTCAAATCTGCTGAGCTTGCTGTGCAAGAAAATGTAAAATATACGTATAAAGAAATATAACAGGAAGTACTGCTAAAACATAAACTAAATGTTAAATAATGTAGATATTGGTTTAAAAAATTCTTCAGATTTGGAAATTTGGAAGGAATACATAATTTTGAAATTAATCAACAAATCTGGTAAAAAAAAAAAAAAAAGAAAGAAATAAAAAATAAAAGTTGCACTTTTTTACTTGAGGAATTTGTTGAATATCTTCATAATTATGACTTTAACTAGTTGGAGGTAATGCTACACTTCTCTTCTTCCTGTCCTGCTCATAAAAGGTAAACATACACAACACAAATGTAATATAACAAAAGTATGTTTAACAACAAACATGTTAGCATCAAGCCATAGCCATGTCTGTTTTAGAGACTAGCTCTCTTGTTTTAATGACCTTCTGCTCCTCCATCTAATTCTGTCATTTTTCACCAATGTGTCACTGGCTCTCTCAAAACAACTCACATCTTTGTCAGTGAAGCTGAGTGCTCCACATCTCTGCCTTCATGGTGACCATCAACAGTACATTAAGATCCAAAATTCTGAGATTAAAGTCAGAATTCTGAGAAAAATAGTCTTAATTCTGAGAAAAAAAAGTCAGAATTCTGACCTTTTTCCCGTATTAAACTGAAATAAAATTTAAAAATCACTTAACATTTTTTTTTTTTTTTCAATGGCCCTGTCCTCTTCCGTAGTCTTGGGCTGATCACTCATCCAATATTTAACTGCTAACTTTCTCTAGATGTTTGCCACGCTAGCCAAAATCATTATTATTTTTTTTTATAGGTCTCATTTCAGTACAATGCCACCACCAACTAAAAGGCTGAAACAGCAGCAGGACTTACTCAGATTTTTTTAAAATTGAAACGTCAGTGTGAGTAACAGTCACCTAACACAACTTGTGTTGAAATTAGCCCGGTCTGGGCGTGTGTTTAACGAGGATTTTTTATTTTTTGCATGGTTTTGATTCGCCGAAATGGACAGATGTTATACCTGCCGCGCTCCTGATCGTTAGTTAACCACAGGGAGAATTAATTCTAATTCTTAGCAGCAGCGGCCGCATTGGTCGTGCAGTGGACTGCTGCACAACCACTAATTAACCAACTAATTAACTTCTGCACCTTTATTTCCTCAAATAAACTGCTGGCTCCTCTTTTTAGACTATAAACAGATTAACACAACATTGAAAACTCTTTAGTTTTCTCTGTTCTGTACTGCAAACTGGAATTAAAGGCGCCATTTCTACCAAAGGTCTGGACAGACTGGCCACCTGTCTAGGGTGGACCCCGCACCAGCACCTCCCGACCCCACTAAGGGACAGGGTGCACAGAAAATGGAAGGATGGATGGATTTCTACCAAAGGTTTAGAATGCGTTTTTGAACCAGATGCTTCAAAGCGCCCTGTCCATAATTCTTCAACACACTGTCAGCTCCCTCTGTCAGTCAACCTATATAAATTCATTTTTGACCATTATTGCAAGTTTGACAAAATAAAACATATCAAACTTTGCACTTCTGTGCCCTACTGAATTGTTTTTAATCCAACTGAAATATTTGATTTTCTACTGCGTATGCGGACACTAAATATGCCAAGGGCTCCAAGACTCCAGTCATTTTGTTTGGTGATATGCTCACATCTTATGAACAAATGCATTATGTAAATTTTAAATGCATTATTTTTGCAAGACACATTTATAAAGGAATAAAGTAAAAGATTAAATAGCCTTTTTTTAAGTAGCGTACTTAAGATATGTTTCTGTTGAATACGAATCTCAGATTTCCGACATGTGTCCCCCCCAATAGTTAACATATTCCTACGCCCTTGCTTCTTGGTAAGAAAAGGTAACATATGTTTGGTGTCGATGGGTAAACCTGAAATTAGTATAGGAGCTATTTTCCATTTTCAGTTAAATTGTATAATTTAGATTATTTAGTTTGATTTGCTGTTTAGAATATGTTTTTGGTGAGTAATTCACTTCACTAGTTAATTAATTTTAGCTCAAGATGTGGCTGTTTCACAGTAAAAACATGTAGGTTTTATTTAATTTCAGTTCGGTTTATTATAGCTCCAATTCACACCAGGTCACCTTCCAGTTCACCAGATCATCCAGTCAGATTGATTCAAAGTTTTCTATCTAAGGAAAACCAGCTGATTGCATCGACTCATTGACTCTTCAGCAATCCCTCACACTAAGCATGCTTGTAGCGACAGTGGAGAGGAAAAACTCCCTTTGAACAGGAAGAAACCTCCAGCAGAAC